GGGCTCCAAACAGATCCCCCGCCTTCAGCCTCCAGTGCTGGGATTCTGGCGTAAGCCACCACACCTGCCTCAGCTTTAGAATTGAATTCCGTTAATTTGATATATAACACTTAAACGTGGTACTGAGGGGGTCCCATGGATCACGCCTGTGTATCCCTAGCAGCTCCTGGGGCCTAGGGCGGAGATGGGATCACCGAAGGCTCCGGGTGTTTTGAACCAGTCTGACAAGAGCGCAGACTCGCCTCTACTAAAATAGAAGATTGAATTGGCAAGCTAAAACATACTAGAAAAAGATTATTAGAGCCAAGCTATGGTGGTGGCATGCCGTCAGTCAGTACTCGGAGAACGGCCTGGGGCCGGAGGATCGGCCTGAGCCCAGGAAGTTGGAGCGTTGCTGTGAGCTAGGGCGAGCCATGGGGTTCATCGGGCCCGGGGCAAACAAAGCGAGACTCTGTCCTGCTAACAAGACAAACAAACAAAAACAAGAACAAACTTCAGGTTCTTGTTGCATGAGCCACTTGGCAAGCTCAGCAGCCACGTGGAGCTAGTGGCTCCGTATTAGACACCGCAGGTTTAGACCAGTCTGTATCTTGGAGCCTGTTCGTATCAGGCTAAGATAGTTTCTGCCATGGGGGAGATAAGGCTTAATCTTCGAGGCGCCTCTCTAAATAAGATTTTGTTGCTACAGAAAGTCTGGATTCCATGCAGTTCCACTGCGTCTAAGGGAGGTTTCCAAAACTGTAAGAGTGTCTGGTGTCCGAAACCCTGCTACGTCCATTCTGTGCGACGTGTCCCCTGATGGGTGGGTTCGCGGTCTTGGTCACAGCCGTGTAGTGTTCTGTCGTAGGGCTGGCTCCTAATTTAACACACTGGCTGCCGCATGAGTGGTGTTTAACTCAGGCTCATTTTGAGCCCGTGAAGGCAAAGTCTGCAGTTAGTTTGTGCTGCCCGGTCTGCCTGCTGCCTCCCCTGGGGCTCCCTCCTGGCTGTCCCCACCTCTCCCCCAGCCTCTGTCCCACCCCCAGGAAGGAGGGCGAATGTCTGAGCAAGGAGAGAGGCAGCCTTTCAGTGCCTGTTGAGTGACTATAAAACAGAGTGAAGATAAAATCAAGTTGAAACCGGCAGCCCTAAGCACTTCATTTGCTCACCTGGAAAACTGCTTACATGTCTTCCCCATCCAGCCGTTTGCACTGGCTGTTCCCTCTGCTGGGAGCACCCTTACCCCCAACTCCTACTTGACCTGGTGAGCTCTTACATAACCTTCAAAACCCCATCCCATTGTACCCCTCCTCGGCAGAGTCATGAATTTAAGCCTCAACTCAGGGAAAGTGGGGCCAGGCTCCCTTTGCTCAATTCCAGTTTCACTGTTTTTTGCTTTGAGTCACTTGGTCTCAGTCTTGTCGTCTGTGAAATGGGAATAATAATAGTTGTTATTATAACTATTATTTAATAACAGTTATTATTAACATGGGAATCATAGTAGTTCCTTTCAGGACGTGTACGCCAGACACCACAGGCCGCTGCCCCGAGATGGCATGGCCCGCCAGCTGGCCCGCTACCTGCAGGCGCTGGACAAGGACCCCGCGCGCTACCTCGCCTACGCTGTGGCCGCGCTCCTTCAGCTGGACGCTGGCCTTCTGCAAGGCCTGCTGGCAGCTGCAGCAGGAGCCCCGGTACCACACGGTGCCCGGCCTGGCCGCCTGGTTCACCTCAAGGGCCTCCCCGGCTGGGGCCTCCCGGGCTGGGCTGCAGCCATCTGGGGCCTCACCTATCCCGGGCCACACCCACCTGGGACTGCAGCTACCTGGGTCCTAGGCTGCGGGGACCTCACCTGTCTGGGGCTTCCCTTGTTTGGGGACCTACCTGCCTTAGGGCTCACCTGCTGTGGTCCTGGCTGCTGGAGACCTCAGCTCCTGGGGACTTCATCTGCTGGGCACCCGCTACCAGACACCTTGCCTCCCGGAGTGTTACCTGCCTGGGGACTGTGGCTGCTGGGGACCTCCCCACCAGGGCACTCGGCCCCTGGGGAACAGGCTCCCCAGTCCCGACTTCTGGCTGACCCAGCTCCTCGTGATCTCTGCTGTTGGCAACAGCCTGCGACATGTGCAGACAGTGTTGTGACCATTTCCAGACGCCGATGCAGCTGGGAAAACTGACGTGTGCCCCCCCGTATCCTACAAGAGTGGTTGTCACCCCAGGGCGGTTCTGCTCCCCAGGGGATGCTCAGCAATGTCCAGAGACATTTTGGGTTGTCCCACGGGGGAGGGCTTGATGGCACCTGTGGGTAGAGGCGAGGGATACCCCAGACCCCCGACAGTGCGCAGCGCAGCCCCCGCATGGAGGATGGTTTGGCACCAAATGTGCAGAGGTGAGAAAACCCCGCTCTAGACCTTTCTATGGCTCGAGGCAGGTGTTCAGAGCCCTGAAGGTGTTCAGGGCCCCTCCTGCCTCTGCAACCTGGGGTGCGCTCCGCGGGGTGGGGGGACAGGGCGGAGTGGGGCCAGGCTATCCAGGGGTCAACGTGGAGCGGCGCTGGGACAAGGGACCTTCTGTGCCTGGCGTGCAGGGCCAGGTGTGGTGCTCGGGGCAGGACGGAGGAGGGCAGGTCCCTGAGAAGGAGGGCGGGGGGGGGGGGGGGGGGGGGGGGGGGGGGGGGGGGGGCGGCCGGGGAGGGGGGGGGGGGGGGGGGGGGTGCGTGTGTGTGACCGTCAGCCTGGCGCGTGCACAGCCAGCGGCACGCCGCGTGACCATCAGTGTATGGCTGTCATGAAGTCATCCCTGTGTGTGCGACGCTGGGGTGATTCCGATTGTGTGTGCACGTGTGATGTGACGACCGCCTGCAGCTCTACGTGTGTGCCGCGTGTGTGGTTAGTCTGGGCGTGAGACAGAATATGTGGCGTGTGTCTGAGTGTGGGACATTGTGGGGTCCCTCTCTGAGCGTGCCGGGCTGTCTGTGTGGCTGGAGACGTGTCGCCGGGTGCGATGCAGTGGCCTGTGTGTGCAGCTCCGTGTCCACTCTCAGCGGGGCTGTGCGCGTGGGCGTGTGGCGGTGGGCGCGGCCCGAGTGTCTCTGTGGACGCGTGGTGACGTTGCCAGCGCCCCTCTTGCATGCGCGGTGCTGAGTGTGACGGCGACGGAGCGTGTAGGGACTTGGGCCGTGGTCTGCGTGTGTTGTTGTCTGCTGCTGCGTCCCTGTGTGGGTGGCGGTCTCTGTGCCCCGTGACTGTGTGTGTGCGTGTGTGTGGCCGCTGGGACCCCAGCCCCGTGTGTGGCGTGCGCCGCTGAGAACCCAGCCCCCCGCTGCCGTGTTTACGTTCCAATTCTCCCGAGGCCGGGCCAGCGCCCTGTGGTTGGGACGTGGGATCTGGTGGGGGACAGGAAGGCCGGGGTCCCGAGAGGCCCAGGGGAGGGTGCATGGAACTCACACGCACACGGAGGCGGGGCTCGGGGACCACCGGCCCAGGCCCCAGGGCTGGTTTTCCCACCGCGTGTCCTGCACGGAACGACCTTCCTCTCTGAGGCCTGGGGCCTCCTGGGCTGTCTAGGATGGGGAAACTGAGGCTCCGAGTAAGCCCCACTTTGGCTTCTGTGGCCTCTCCGCCGAGGCCAGGCTGAGTCAGCCCAGACGGTGGAAGAATCCACCACCCCAAACCTCAGAGTCAGAAGGCTGCGGGGGCGGGCGGGGACCCCAGCCAGCCATGGCCCTGAAACTGTCTCCCAAGCAGACCACCCACGGGCTGGGGCCTGGCCGCCACCCCGCTCTCTCTCGGGGCTCCCTGGAAGTCCTGCTTGTCAGCTGCCTCGAGCGCCTCTAGCTGCAGCTGGGGCCTGCGGGGCTGGGACGCTCCTGCGGGGCTGCGCATGGGGACTGAGCCCGGGAAGGACACAGCGGCTAGACAGTTGTCCTCAGTGCAGTTGCGTGGGATAGAAGGGCGGGGACGACGGTCGCTTAGGGGACCCATCCATCTGGGGGAAAGGAAGGTGTCATCTGAGGAGCCCCCCAGTCTGGGGCAGCTGAGGAGGAGATGTCCTTGGAAGTTGGAAGGCTGGGGGAAGGGAAGTCGCAACCTCAACCCCCCCCCTCTGACGGGCAGGAGGGGAGGGGTCCCCGCCCTCTGGCCGCCCGGGTGCTGCGGGCTCCAAGCTCCCGCCCCTCATCCGACCGTGGGACCCAGCGCCCCCTCCCGCACTCTGGGAACCCAACACCCCCCTCTGTCGGGGCCTGCCAAGCGTCAAGGTGACACCGTGGGCAAATCTAAACACCGCGACGAGCTTTTTCCGTCCTCTGCGGAGGCTTGTCATAAATCCCCCGTCGAGGCCAGGCCGGGGCTTTTATGGGCCCAGGACCCAGGTCCCCGGGGACCCAGCTCTACCCCAGCAGGCGCCGGCTTCGGGCTGGATGGGACTGGCGCCCGCCCCAGACCTCTCTCCGCCCCGGGAGGTGGGCAGCTCGTGGGTATTTTTAGCTGTGAAAGGAGATAGTGGCTTCGAGTTCACCCTGGTGGCGTCAGACCCTGCAGAGGAGACCCTTTGGGCCAGGGAGGCCTGGATCCACCTAGACGTCAGTCTCTTCATCTGCAGATAGGCTCCCCCTTCCTCCTTCCCAGAAGGCCACACAGCTGAGAGGAGCACATGGGGCCAGGACAGGCAAACTGGGTCCACCTAGACCTCAGTCTCTTCATCTGCAGAGGCTCCACCTTCTCCCCACGGAAGCCCACCAAGCACAGAGGTACGGAAGGGGACGACAGGGAGGGGCAGAGGGACCGGCAGGCAGGTGGGAAGGACAGTCCCTGCCAGCATTGACCCCATTCTCCCCAATTTCCTTTTGTCCCCTGTAAACAGGACTCCCTCTGCATCGACTCCCTTACCCCCAAAGCAAACGAGATCCTCCCGTGACCCTGCAGGAGTGGGGGGTCCACCCGTCCCCCTTTTCCAATGGAGACGGCGCCCCCTCCCTGCACACCCTCACTCCCTCGCCCAGCGTGAATCACAAGCCCAGCTCGATTTCCCACACTTTATCTCAACACAGTTATCGCGAGAGTCCCGGGGCCTCGACGGCATGCTGTGCGCATGCGCAGTCCGTGAGAGCCAATGGGAGCCGTCGGGGCGCGTGGCGCGGCCTCCGTGTCGCCGGGCCCCGTGAGGTAGAGTCACACGCAGGCGCACTCGCGCGCCGACAGCTCGTGCACCGTGTGGTAGCGGCTGTGCGCGTCCAGGAAGGACACCTCGTCCTCGTAGGCCGTCGGGCGGCAGCAGGGCTGCGCGCGCACCCGCTCCCGCCGCAGGCGCCTCCGCTGGCGCAGGCGCCGCAGCCCCAGGTCGTGGACGCGCGCGGCCGCCTCGCACGCGCCTGCGCAGTAGCGGAACAGCACCGTCTCGTCCGACGCGTAGCCCAGGCCCAGCTCGCTCACGCGCACCTCGAGCTCGCGCAGCCCACACGGCCGCGTGCCCGTCCGCGCACGCGCACGCCGCCGCCGGGGCCCCGCACGACGGCGCGGACCTGGGGGCCGCCCGGCCCAGGGCGTCAGCTCGCGCAGCTCCACCGCGTCCGGGGCGCCCTGCAGCAGCGCGCGGTCTGCGAGGGGGAGAGAAAGGAGTGAGTGGGGGGCGCGGGAGGAGGGGAGGGAGCCCCACCTCTCTGTACCCACTGGGACCCCCGCCCTCGACCCAGACGGCTTCTCATCTCACTCCCCGATCCCGGCGGCCTTGGGGGCTCCCACCTGAACCCCCAGGGCGTCCAACACCCCTTTCTGAACTCAGCTCATATACTGGGCCGCCCAGAACCTGGCCTCCCTTCCTAGGTGTCCGTCCGGGGCCACTTTCCAGCCCGCCCCACCTTGAACTGAGCTCACCCGGGTCTCTAAGTCACTTCCTCTGGGCCCCGCCTCCACCCCATGGCCGCCCATTCTTTTGCCACCCCAATTCTATCTGGGCCCAAACATATGCTGGGCTGCTTGAAGGTGGGGGTCCCCCTGTCACTGAGCTGTGACGAAAAGAAAGGAAGGGGCTTGCCACGGGGCAGTGGTGACCCACCTGTGGGCTCCCTGCTGCCCCAGGGACCTAGAACACCCTCTCTGGGCAGTGTTGGGAGGCTGCTTCCACGCCCCCATCGCCCACCCTTTAGTTAGGCCATCAACAGTCTCTAACTCTCTCTAGGGCCCCCACCCAAAGCCTCCACTGCTTCTCTGAGCTCCTGGGCTGTTCAAACTCCCCACTCCCTGCCACTCCAGCCTGCAGTGGGCCTCAGTTTCCCTAAGAAACCAGATTAGGGTGGTGCACAGGGGAGCAGCAGGGACTGAGGTGTACCCCATCTGAGGCATGCATGGGCACCGAACTTACGGTCAGGGCCAGCCCCATGTAACAGGTAAGGAAACAAAACATCCAAGAGGGCAGAGACTTGCCCAAGGTCACTCTACTAGCAGGTGGCCGAGAGAGAGAGAGACAGGGGCCCAAAAGACATTGTTCCCACCTCCATCATTCACCCAAGTTTGGCTCACGTCCAGCCCTCTTCTCACACACTTTCCTGGAGGTGCCCCAAGTCACAGATTCCCAGGGCCCTGAAGCCCAAATTTATGACCCAGGTGGCTGGCCCTGCCCCAGTTCGCTACAGCCCCAAGAGAGAAGTGCCAACATCGGAATGGCGGGCAGTGCTGGTGGTGGAACTGCTGGCAGGCCGAGGCTCCCAGCCCTAGAGCAGGTGGCAGTCACGCTTGTGGTTGGGACAGGAAATCCGGAGTTTAGTCCCTGCCTATCCCCAAAGCTGGCACACCTGGCTGTCAGAAGAATAAGCCTCCTGGGTGGCCCAATGAGGACGGGCTGTCTCTTGCCCTGGGAGGTGTCTGTTCCCATAGGGTGTCTCTGAAACCAGACAAACCCAGATTTGGCCCCGCAATCTCAGACAGGCGGTGGCCCTGCTCCGTGCCTCAGTTTCCCAAGCCGGTGAAGCTTGCATAATGCCTGTCTTGGTGGAGGCGGAGCGGTGGGAAGCTGGGGGCGGGGATGGCTGGGCAGCGTATTCCATGCTCTTTGATTCCATGCGTGGGACTGGGGTGGCCAGGATGGTGCTTGGGGTTAGGTGCACGCCAGGCTCTCGTCTGGAGCCCCAAATCCCACCATCCTGGTCCCCCAGCAGCAGAGTATCTAGTATTCTAGGCAGTTCTTCGTGGGGTTGCCAGATAGCATACAGATGCCCCGTCCAATCTGACTTTCACATAAACAATGAATAATCTTTTAGTATATCTGTCCCTGCCTCCCTCCAGCAGGGAGGCTACTTGCACAGGGCCTGGAACGCAGAGAGTCCCAAGCCTGGAATTCCACCATCACCGCATTAGTTCCAGGGCCAGAGTATGGGGACTTTAGGGGCTCGGTGCCCAGTCCCTTTCTCCAGTAGAGTTGGGCCCGGGGACAGGATACAGGGCGGGCAGTCACCCGCACATGGGCTGAGACCCTAGCCGGTGCTGCCTGCAATTCCTCCATTGGTGATTTGCCCCCAGGTCACCTGGAGCGCTGGCTTTTGGGGCCCCCCCAACTCCGACCGCCCGGGTCCCTGGGACCCAGCGTCCTGGGACGCTTGCAGGAGGGGAGCAGCAGTGGAGCTCGCTCGCCCGAGGCCATCCTTGTCCATTGTGAGGATAAGAATGGGGGACTGTGTGTGGCGGCAGAACCCGCATGAATGTGCACACAGGCGCCGCGCACGCGCCCCGCTCGCGTCTACGCCCGGGGCGCACGTGCGGGGGCGCACGCGTGGACACGTGCGCGCGCGCACCAGCTCGGGGCCTACGCACAAACTTGGTCCAGCAGAACTGGCCCCCGGGCCGGGGCCGCGCCGTCGGGGTGGGCGGTGCCACTTTCCCACCTTCCCAGTCTGTCTCTCCCCGCCCCGTCTCTCTTCTCTCCGTCCCCAGCCCTGTCTCTGTCTCTGCGTCGCTCTTCGCCTTCCTAGATCCCTCTCGGCCTCTCGCACTGCCCGGGCAGGTCACTGGGACCTGGATCCAGCTGCCCTCTCCGGCCACCCCCCGCTGCGCTGCGGGGCCGCCCGGGCCGGGTGCCCAGGTCTAATCTCCATCTGGCCCCCACGGCCCCTCAGGGCCAGAGCCTAATTCCTTGTGACAGCTGAGCCGAAGGACCCCAGTGCCCAGCCAGGCCGTTGGGGGGATTTGCACCCTCCTTCCACCCCATCTAAAAATAAAAAAGACACCCAAACCGGGCTGACCCTTCCACTTCCGCTCCGCTGCCTGAAACCCCACCGCTGTGGCCACCCACCCGTAGGTCCGGGTGTCGCCCACGCCGGGGCGGGGACTTACACTGGGCCAGGCGGGCGATGCGGGCGTCCAGGGTGCGAGGCAGGCGGCGCAGCGGGACCAGCGCGGGTCTGAGGCGGTGGCTGAGGAGCAGGCCCTCGCGACACATCCAGAGGGACAGCACCGAGCTGCACAGCACCGAGGCCAGGGCCGCCGCCTTCCAGCGCTGCATCCTCGGCCTGCGGGCACGGGGTGGTCAGCCCCGCGGCCCGTCTGTCCCTCCAGCAGCAGACGGGCGCAGGGCGCTGGGCCAGCCACTGTGGACGCAGTGGGGCCCGCGACTTTGAACAACCCACGCTCAATAATGGCCCATAATAACACAGAAATAATTCATCAATAGGAACCTAGAAATGACTCATCCTCATTGACCGAGGTTGTGAAAAACTCCCCAAGGAGGGGTTGGGCTCCCTCGTGCCGGGGGTCACAGGGAACTGCCCCCATCTGGGGGTCCCAGGGGCTGATGGTAGAGTCCAGACTTGCGCGAGGGTAGGAGTTGGCTGGGCGGAGGGGAAGGGCATCTCAGGCCGGGGGAACAGCCCGTGCAAAGGCCCTGAGGCTGGCCGGAGCTTGGAGAGAAAGGAGGTGAGGGCCTTCCGGCAGGTGGCACTGTGGGACAAGAGTGGGGAGGAGGGGTGGGGTTTAGGACAGTCTGGGAGGCAGGAACCTGGGGTTGAGACTTTGTTCCCTGCATATTGACGTCCCTGAGTGACTCTTTGCCCCTCTCTGAGCCTCCGTTTCCCCTCCAAGTGCGTAAACTGATGCCCAGAAGTGGGCGGATGGACCAAAGCTGTCGGGGACGCTGAGTCCCACCTCCAGGTCTTTTGCACAGGTGGGTCCTTCCACCCAGAACTCTCTTTCCCTCCCGTCCCTCCCCATTCCCATTCCCATTCCTATTCCTCTTTCCCTTTCACTCTCAGCTTGGACCATGCCTCCTCCAGGAAGCCTCCCTGGACCGCCTCCCCTCTCCCCTCCAGCTTCAGGTCCTGAGCTTCCCCCATTAGGACACCGGTGACACGGCCGTGACTGCCTGGTGGCGTCCTGCTCACCGCACACAGTAGGTGTTTAGTAACCCACGCGCATTCCCCACCCCCACCCTGTCCCGGCCGCCCGGAGCCCGCGTTTTCGTCCCCGCCCGGCCGCCTGGTGCCCGCGGAGCCTGGCCTGGCGGGCGGCCCGGTGTAAACATCACAGGGAGCCGGGCTGGACGCCGCCGCCCTGGGCTGGGCCCGCGGGTCGCCCTGCGGTGCGCGGGGACGGATTTGCGTGCGATTTGCATGTCATCTGCATGCGATTTGCATGGGCCCGCCGTGTGGACACGCCCACCCCCTGGGTTCGCCAGCACAGGAGCTGCGCCCTCCAGACAGTAAGTAACTTGGGGGGGGGGAGGAAATGTTTATTAAGCGCCAGCTGTGTACCAGGCCTGGTGCTTGAGCCCATGAGAGAGCACCAGTATCTCCATTTTACAACTGGGGAAACCAAGGCACAAAACGGGTTGGTGCTTGTCCGTGGGCATTTGGCTACCAAAGGATGTGAAATTCGAGCCCAGGTTCTTGGCCGCGGCTCCCACCATGCAGGCGGGCTGTGCTTGGAGGCAAACGCCGCAGAGTCGCCCCAGGGACGGTCACTGTTGGCGGTCATTTCATTCTTCCCTGTTTGTTACTGTGGGTGCCGTTGCCAGGGACTCCCCTAAACACGGTCGTAGCCCAGCCTGGGGGGGCTAATGGGAGTCGCCTGGAGGGGAGGCTGGCCCCCCCACGGCCGCCCAGGCACATAATTAAGTGCTTAGTAGACAGTTGCTGAATGAATGAATGAAGTAATGAACACAAAGAAGCTTGGCACTGGGTGGCTCAGATCCCAAATTGAAGGGTCCACGGTGTCACATGTGTCACTTTAGTATGGCACCAACCTCCCCATTCCAGAAACCCACCCTCGTTTATTAAGCACTGACTGTATACTAAGCCCAGAGACTTCAACTACCATTTCTTTTTCATCCTCCCAATAAATCCATCCATCCATCCATCCATCCATTCATTCATTCCCTCATCTAACATTAACTGGGCACCTGTATGATGTGCCAGGCCCTCAGGCACTGTAGGGACCAAGACAGACAATATGCAAAAAAAAAAAAAAAAAAAAAAAAAAAAGATTAAAATGATTTCAGTTGTCATGTATTAGTAATATGAAGACAAACATAACGAAGGGTTAGTCAAGGGTGTTGGATCCGCTAGGGGTGGTCGGGGGGACCTCCCTGAGGAAGTGGCACGTGTGACCCAAGAGTGAGGAGTCAGCCGTAGGAAAATGTGGCGCCAGGTGTCCCAGGCAGAGGCACGGCCCGTGCAAAGGCCCTGGGGCAGGATGGGCCTGGCGTGTTGCAGGCACAGCAGGGAGGCCCGTGTGGCTGGAGCAGAGTGTGGGGGGAGAGGGAGGAGGGGAGGGCAGGGAGGGGACAGGGCAGGTTGTGCAGGGCCTGGTGGGCCCCGGGGAGAATGTGTCCTTCTCAACGTTGTGCAGCAAGCAGAAGGCAGCGCCAGAACTTGTCGGTGCCCAAACCCACCCCTTTGCTCCTTGATGAGCCCCTACTTTATTCCCAGTCTCGTTCTACACACTTAACACCTGTGATGTCGTCTCAGCCTAAGAAGCAGGTAGTGCCCTTATCCCCATTTTACGAGCGGGAAACTGAGGCCCGGAGATATGAACTGGCTTGCCCAAAATCACAGAGCGAGGATTTGAATGCTGGTGGCTTCACCACCAGGAAAGGCAGACAGGCGAGGAAAGCCCCACCCCCGACCAGGAGCCCAAGGTCACTCTGGACCCGTGGCACTCTGCTTGCCCTCACACCCAGGTCTTGGAGTTGCGTGCCTCAGTTTCCCTGTCCGGCTGGAACAAGCCTTGGGCTGTGCTGGTCTGTTTCTAACAGGGGCTTAACACAGGGCTGGGCGGGTGAAGGGGGAGTCGGTCCCAGACTGGCCTGGCCACGGGAGCCCCTGGTGGCTTTGGGGCCGCAGACCCCCCAGCCAGAGCTGTGGGGGGCAGGGAGGCAGGGGGCCGCCGATGAACGCGGCCGGGAGGCGCCTCCGATAAGCAGCCGCTAACAATGGGCCTTTCTGTGTGGGGGTCACCTAACTGGTTTGTCCCTGGCACGGGCCCGACCAGGAGGGGTGACGCAGGTGTGCGCGACGCATGCTCCCGCCGCTGATGGCTCGGAGCCCGGCGGGGGGTTCGCACACACGGCACCCTTTGGGGCTCACACTCGCTCACGCCCAGCCGTGTCCCGTTCCACCGACACCACTGGGCCTTTCTCTGTCATCGACACGCGAGCGCTGTCCACCGCACACTCCGTCGCATCCACTCGTCACACTCAGCTGTGCGTGCTCTCACAGCGGCAGACGTGCTCCCCACCCATCCTGGGTGTCTTCACACTCTCGACACACAGTCCCAGCTGGGCACGGTGGCTCACGCCTGTCATCCCAGCGCTTTGGGAAGCTGAGGCGGGAAGATCACTTGAGACCAGCCTGGACAACACAGTGAGACCCCATCTCTAAAAAAAAAAAAAGAAAAAAAAAAAACCCACACATTTGGACATTTTCACACACATCAAAACACTGTCACACTAACCCTTGGGCGTGATCACACGTGCACACTTAGGCATTTTCATGCTTAAGCCCAAACACGATCACATACACGGATGTTTTCAGACTCATATACTCGAACAGTCACACACGCTCAGATATCATCACACCCACACACTTACACACTGACAGACACACACTGGCGTGTTCTCGCTCGTGCTTGAAGACTGTCGCACCCACCGGCACACGATGGCACACGATGGCACCCACGCACGCACAGTGGGCCGGCCTCCCCTCACCTGCCCACGGGAGCTGTCTCACGTCCTCAGGCATCGTCCTCGCACACTGGCACAGAGGATGGGCCCGACCACACCTGTGTGGCCTCCCAGCCGTCCCGTGAGCACCTGTCCCTCTCCAAGTGTGTAGGGACACACGCCATCCATCGTCACTGCCTGCTGCCTGCTTGTCCCTGAGACCCTCACCCCCCGGCCACTCGCTCGCACATGGGGTCCGGGGGGCACGGGTGCGGTGGGCTGAGGGTGGCAGGAATCGGGGCAGGGTAGGCAGGTGGCTCTGGAGGGGACTGCCCCGCCCTGACCATGCAGGTGCCACCTACACTGCCTAGACAGGGCCCGGCCAGCGGTCCCCCCCAGTCCTGGAGGAACTGTCCGGACCCTGAGAATCCACAGTGCCTTCTTCCTTGGGGTCCGCGCCAGCCTGAACTGCAACGGGAGGGACATAGGACAGACCCCGAGTTCTAGCTGGAGGCCACAGACTCCCCAGTGCTGGGGCAGTGAAGGAGGGGAAACTGAGGCTCAGAGAGGGACGATGAGTAACCAAAGCTGCACAGCTGGGCAGGCCCTTCCAATCCGCCCAAGGAGCCAGCAGCCAGCGCAAGGGGGTGTGCGTGTTTCTGGCAGCTTCCTTGGTGGTGCCGGAAGATGTTGCTCACGGTCCTGTGCCCGGCAGTGCCCCGGCACCCCTCTTCCCACCTGGCTTCCCAGGGCGCGTCCACAGGGCATACCCCACGCTAGGGGCAGTAGCCTCTGTCCTGCAGAAGGCCTGGCCTCAAGGAGTCACACCCGAGAGAGTAAGAAGCGGAGGGGACCCTCCCTCCATCCAGTCATCTCTTCTAGTCTGGGGTAGCCCTGGAATTGGGGCCTATCCCTATCTGGCAAACTCCTACTCATCCTGCAAAGCCCTAGCTCCTGTCTCCCCTTCACCAGGAAGAAGCCTTCCCTGCTTCCCATCTTGGCTGCGTGGGTCCCTTCCTTTTGCCCAGCCCCGCCAGCACGGGGTCTGTGTCCACGGCTGTGTTTGCTGGGCGGGGAGTTTCTGGAGGGACATCCTGGGCTGAGGTCTCTCAAGGCGCGGGGCAGACTGAGAGGTGGCGTTTCTAGAGGCGCGAGCTTGCTGCGCACCCAAGGTCCCCCGCTTCTGCCCGTGGGGTGCCTGGGCCCGTGCACACTCTCCTTCCCCTCCGCCTCACTCCCAGCCTCCCCGAGACTCGGCCTCCCCGTCTTCCATCAGGGCCTGGCGGGTGTCGCCCAGCACCGTGGGAACGCCGGGCCGGGCCTGGAAGAGCTTGACCGGCTGGCCCCGGGAGTGCCCTGGGCTTTCACTGATGGGGAAACTGAGGCCCCATGAAGGGTGGGCTCTGGCGGGGGGTCTGTGCCTCTCTCGAGGCAAAACCCAATGATTCTGCCAAACAAGAAACAAATCCCGCAGCCCACAAAAATGTGCCCCCTCCCTCGGAGGGCCCCAGGGCCTGGCCCCACCCCAGGAGGGGACAGGGAGGCCAGGACGCCTCGCGCTGGAGACCCACATCTGGGGGCAAACCAGGAACATCTGGCAAGCACAGCTGGTTCCGTGCTGCGTCTGCGGGGCCGGGGGCCAGCCCATGGGGCGGCTCCGTGTGTGGGGTGCAGACGCA